GGGGTAGGGCCAGGCGCTGCGCCATCGCGCACCGCGCGCGCTGCCAATCGCGGATCCGGCAGAGGGCCTGCGCGCGTCCGCGGGTGCTGGGAGCGCCTCGAGCGCCCCCAGGCGCCCAGGGGGTGGAAGGACATGTCGTTCTCGTCCTTATTTGATATCGTTCCGATCATTCAAGGAGCAATCATTCTAACTACCCAGCGGCTCCGCGGGAGAAAGGTCTGGCGATCTGCTCCCATAAAGATTTTTGTTGTTGTTAGGTGCTGTCGAGTCGTTTTTCGACTCAAAGCGACCCCATGTGACACTAGAAGTCCCCATACGGTTTTCTTGGAGCAACAGTTAAGCATTCTAACGGTTAAGCTGCTGACCCAAAGGTTAGTGGTTGAAACCCACCCACTGCTCCGCAGAAGGAAGACCTAGCGATCTGTTCCCTTAAATATTACAGCCTAGAAATTGACTCGACAGCACCTACCAACAACAACAACAATCTTTAGGGAAGCAAATCGCCCACCTGGTCTTTCTCCCAGGGAGCCGCTGGGTAGGCTCGAACTGCCAACCTTTTGGTTAGCAGCTGAGCGCTTTAACCCCACTGCGCCACCAGGGCTCCTTCCGGCCCCTGATAACCACCAATGAATTTTGGTCTCTATACATTTGCCTGAAGAGCCCTGGTGGCGCAGTGATTAAGCGCTTGGCTGCTAACCGAAAGGTAGGCAGTTGGATCTCACCAGCTGCTTCATAAGAGAAAGATGTGGCAGTCTGCTTCTGTAAAAATTACAGCCTTGGAAACCCTATGGGGCAGTTCTACTCTGTCCTACAGGGTCGCTATGAGTTGGAATTGACTCGTCGGCAATGGGTTTGGTTTCTGGGGTTTGGTATACGTATATTCGCCTATTCTGAATACTTAAAGTGGTTACCGGGGCGGGGGAAGGGGGAAAAGAGGGGGTCACTGCTTACGGGGCACTGCGTTTCTGTTAAGGGTGATAGAAAAATTTGGAAACGTAGTGGTGATGGCTATAGAACATGATGAATGTAATTAATGTCACTGAATTGTACAGATAAAAATGATTGAAATGGCAAATTTTTATTATATATACACATATAAACACACATACTTACCACAATAAAATAAAGAAATATTTTTAAAATAACATTTCTGAGCATTTATTAGGTGCCAGGCTTGACGGTAAAGTCTTTCCATGAGATAGCTCCATAAGCTGTTCTTAGGCGCCATTGAGTCAATTCCAACTCACAGCGACCCCCCTGTCACAGAGTAGAACTGCCCCATGGGGTTTTCCTGGCTTTAATGTTTACGGAAGCAGAGCACCAGGCCTTTCTTCCGTGGAGCCATGGATGATTCAAACCGCCAACCTTTCAGGCATCAACTGAGCACAAACCCTTTGTGCCACCCAGGGGCTTTTTTTTTTTTTTAAATAATATATTCTCAGTACCTAACAGAGAACTGGCACCTGGAAGATTTGAAAATATATTATTTTGAAATTGATTTGACACTTATTACTTGGAAAAGATTAATCAACCATATAGGTGCTATTATCATTCTCATTTAACACGCAAGAAAACAGGAGCTCAGCCGTTTGCTCTGAATCACACAGTAAATCAGTGCTATTTGCTGTGCTGGGAATACTTGTGTTAATATCATTATTTGTGCATAATGGTGAATGTATTAATTATATGAGCATTCATTCTGATGTCATGATTTGAGTATTAATAAATGTGGCTGTTGTCGTTGTTATTGGATGTTGTCAAGTCAGCTCCCACTCACAGTGACCCCGTGTACAACAGAAGGAAACACTGCCCGGTCCTGGGCCACCCTCACAATCATGGTTACACTTGAGCCCAGTTGTCAATCCATCTCATTTTGAAGGTCTTCCTCTTCTTTGCTGACCCTCTACTTTACCAAGCATGATGTCCTTCTCCAGGGACCGATCCCTCCTGATGACATGTCCAAAGTATGTGAGACGAAGCTAATGATGGATGATTTCTGCTGGGAGACAGGTGAGGGAGTCAGGTCACCCAGTTAGTGAGGGGTTGTAGCTGTTAGCTGCTGTCCAGTCGGCCCTGACTCATGACCACCCCATGAACAATGGCACAAAATGCAGCCCGGTCCTGCGCCATCCCCATGACGGGTGGCGGATCGGACTGCTGTGATCCACAGGGTTTTCATTGGCTGATTTTCGAAAGTAGATCGCCAAGCCACTCTTCCTAGTCCCTCTTAGTCTGGAAGCTCCTCTGAAACCTGTTCAGCATCCTAGAAACACGTTAAGTCTCCACGGACAGATGGGTGGGGGCTGTACATGAGGGACACGGGCTGGGAATTGAACGTGGGTCACCGGCATGGAAAGCAAGAATTCTACCACTAAGCCACCACGGCCCCCCCCCCCAGAGTTTGAGAAGCCCAGGATCTAATACCTGCAGAAGGGCTGGGGCTGGGAGCGGTTGGTGAGGATAACAAATATGAAGAAAAGGGGGCAAAAGTCAATCTCAGGGTTGATTCTGAATCTTTCCTGGGGGGAAGGCAATATGAAAACTGAAAAACCAAGAAGTAATAAAACGAAAACTAGCGCGCTATTTAAAAATGAGGAAGTAAGTGTCAAAACAATCAGCTAAAACCACCTGGGGCCCCTGGGGAGGCGCAGGTTATGAGGACGTGAATTCACTGCTGATTTCTTAACGAACCTTGATAATTATTTGACTCTTGAAAATGCATGCATATTCTGTTGGGGGTAATGGAAAATGTCGGAACTGGAGAGTGGTGATGGTCTCACGACACGATGAATGTAATTAATACCACTGAACTGGGCGTTTAAAAATGGCTAAAATGGCACGTTTCGTGTTATATGTATTTACCTCAGTAAACATTTTTAAAACAACTTTTAAGTAAACGCATGTATAACTTTAATAAAAAATAGAAACTAAAAAAAAAAAAAAAAGCCTGAGGGTGGCGTCTCCCCACCCTCCCTTCCCTCCGCGGTTGTCCCCGTTTTTGCGGTTCCAAACCCGGGGCTGCCCTGCTGGGGCCGTTGTCTGGTTTCTGGCGCCCCCTGGTGGCCACAGTGGCTGCTGCTATCAGCACCAGATACCGCCTGCAGGTAAGGGGGGCGTGGCAGGCTTTTTCCATCTCCCGCTCTGCTCCGTAGTCCATTCATTCATTCATTCATTCCACCAATATTTATTGAGCGCCTACTGCATAGCAGGCACTATTCTAGGCCTTAGGGATACTACAATGAGCAAGACAAAATCCCTCACCCCGATGAGATTACATGCTAGAAAGAGAGATAACATACAAGCAAGTCAGACTCAAGGTAGATTCAGCTGCTGATAAAATGCTTGAAAAGTCATACAGGCCGTTGAGGCTCATTAGCTAATAGGCTGTTGATGTTAACCGCCCTTGAGTCAATGGTGACCCCACACGCAATGAAACAAAATGCCACCCCGTCCTGCACCATCCCCATGATTGGTTGGGGATCAGACCACCGTGATCCACAGAGTTTCATTGGATAATTTTGGGGACTTGGTTGCCAGGCCTTTCTTCCTAGTCCATTTTAGTCTACAAGCTCCACTGAAACCTGTTCAGCAACCTAGTAACACACAGGTCTTCACTGACAGACGGGTGATGGCTATGCATGGGCTACATTGGCTGGGAATTGAACCCGGGTCTCCTGCATGGAAGGTGAGAATTCTACCACTGGACCACCACTGTCTCATACCCTAGGAGTAGTATTTTCCCCACTTTCTAGATGAGAAAACTAAGGACCAGAGAGGTTAAGCAACTTACCCAAGGCTGAACAGCTGGGAAGGGATAGAAGGTTCTCAGCATTGGGGTCTGGTCACTCCATGGCAGAGAAACAGGATTTGTGTTCAGATCTGCAGGGGAGGCGAGTGTATCTGGTGGACTGTGCAGTAAGAGCGAAGACTTGGCAGTCCTGATGCAGGCGGGACAGTGGCAGGGAAAGCTAGGGGTTCAAACCATCCATGCCTTAACTTATTCAGCAAATGTTGCCTGAGCACCTAGATATGCCGATGCCAGAGGCCCAGCAGTGAATGACAGGGCAGACACAGGGCAGACATCCTGGCCTCCAGGCATGCAGGGGTTAAGGCCAGCTGCTCCCACGTAAAAGCATCTTACGACAGAGTCACACACCCTGCCGCTGGGGCAGGCCGGCCTCTCACACACTTATTCGCAGGGCGCACGCTGCCGCCGCACTGGTCCCACCTGGCGCAGGGCCTGGGGCCGCCGCCAGGGAGGAGAAGTTGGGCAAACAGGTGGGGAGGCCAGCACGCAGGCCTCAGACCCCCTCCACACCCTCATGCCAGGTAGGCACCTGGGGCCTGGATCCTGACACCTGCCCAGAGGCCATCCAGCTCCTGGACAGGTAAGTCCCTCCACTGCTCTGCCCGCCACCTTGCAAGTGTGGTCTGGGCTGGGATTCTCCCACCGCAGGGTCTTGGGACCCCCCGTCACCTCCCCCAGCTCCCTGGAAAGCAGAAAACTGGCCCTCCTGTGTGGGCGTCTGACATGGTTTCCAGGGGATTATCTGGCTGGCAGCTCCTGCCCTGGCCGCCTGCCCAGGGCACCACTTAAAAGGATCATTGTTGCCCAGGTTGGGCCAGGGGGCCCAAGGGGCACAGGTTGGTCTCAGAGGCCCCGAGAGGAGGAGACGGAGGGGGCCTCAGCTCCCGTTGAGGCCCAGTTTGCCTCCTGTGGCCTAAGTGTTGGCAGATGCGACAGGCTAGCACCCGGCTGGTCCCTGAGCCTCTGGAAACTTCTCAAGAAGGTCCCAAGCTTTCGGACAATTGCGCCCCTCTCTCCTCACTGCCGGCACCTCCAGGAGCTGGGGGGAAGTGGAGGGGGCTGGGCT